GGGGGGGGGGGGAGTTTTCCAAATGAATTAGATTTAAAAAATATTGTATTTAATTTGTGTGGGTAGATCATACTCTGGTACAGGGACCTTGAGTGGTGCAGGGAAAAAATCAGCTAAAAATCAAAGTGGATTCAGCAATATTTGCTGTGTTTTAAGGAACAACCCCTTCAACACTTCATTTCTTTAAAAAATAAACCAAACCCATTAATTTACAGTCTGTAAATGAATTTGGAAGGGGGTCTTAAGTGGTGCAGGGAAAGGAACAGCTAAAAATCAAAGTGGATTCAGCAATATTTGCTGTGTTTTTTTTAATTTACAGTCTGTAAATTAATTTGGAAGGGGGCCTCAATTGGTGCAGGGAAAGGAATAGCTAAAAATCAAAGTGGCCTCAGCAATATTTGTCTGGTTTAGGGAATGACCCCTTCAACACTTTATTTTTTTAAAAAACCCCATTTATTTACAGTCTGTAACTGAACTTGGAGCAGCAGGGAAGGCAGGTACAGCTCTGCTCTCCCTTCCCCAAGAGCCTCCCCCTGCCCGGGCAGGGCCCAGCAGTGGGCAGGGGGTTTCTCTCCCCTCTCCTCAACTCAGTGCTGGGTGAATTCATCCCATCCTCACCCTGACACCGGTTCCTCTGCTCCAGCCCCAGCCTCCCTGGCGCTGCTGTAGACAACATTGTTCCATCCCTCTCTGTTCCGAGCGATTTCGATGGCGAAAAACTGGATTCTGGTGGCTTAAAAAAAAAGAGAGGAAAACAATTCAAAGAGCAAAATCCATAGGTTCAGCTTCCTTTCCCCTCGTGCACCCCTTTTCCAGGGGGGGAGGGATGCTCCCCATGCCAGCCCTGGCTCACCCAAGATGCTGTTCTCCTCGGTGTAATCTTTGCCACAGTCCAGGCGGAGCAACGTCCCGTAGTTAAAATCCTCCACCACCCCCTCGAAGCCCAGGCAGAACGGGCGCCACTTCTGGGGAGAAAACACAAAAAAGCATCAACATCCCTGGAATTTGGGGGGGAAAAAAGGGGGAAAATTAGTGTGTTGTCGTCCCCCCACCCTTGCTCCTGCCCACCCACCTCCTTGGCGGGCTCTGATTTGAGGTCTTCTGGGTCCAGCACATCGATTTTAAGGTCCTTGAAGGTTTTCCTGAACTCCTCGTAGATCTGATCGTCCACTTTGGTGAGGTTTAGAAACTTGGGGTCGACGGAGGAGATGAGCTACAGAGGGAGATTAAAGAATTAACTGTGACCCCCCCCCGTCCTCCTCTTCACAAGCCTCCCCACCACTGAGACCACCCTGGGACCCCCCAGGACTTACGTTGAAGTAGACCTGGGCGTGCTGATGTGCCTTCATGGCCCAGGCCAGCTCCACGCGGGGCTGGGGAGGGAGAAGTGGGGTCACACAGGGGCTCTGCCCCCCGCCAAGAGGGTCCTCTCCTCCCCTTGGAGCAAAGGGAGGCGGGGGGGGGAACAGGGACAGCTGGTGGGTGATGGTGTGGGGGTCTGTGGCCAGACAGACCCCTGGCATGGGGGTTCATGGGTGAACTGCAAACCCCAAAGTATCCCATCCATGCAGGACCCCTCTGGGGCTGAGACCCCCCCCC